AAACATATCATCCTTTTCTGTAAGCAGAATCAAACAAGGAAGTTTCTGCAATGTGCACCTTTTTTTGGTGGTCAGCATAACACTCTAGAAATGCCTTAGAGGTGATGACAGGAACACAGAGAGTCAACATCTATGCTGGCCAACAGAAACCCACCACAAGAAATAAACCAAACTTTTCAAAAAATACACAGAAATTAATAATCATTTGCAAGTTCATGTGGAGTGCATGGCTGCTCTTCATGCCAAGCAAGAGGCAAGCTGAAGTCAGAGAAGAGGGTGTACTTGGGGAATGAGTTTTAAGCTTGAGGCTTAAAAGCAGACTGGATGAAGTCTGTGTTTATAAAGCTAAGATCCAGCACAGTTACACTAATCTGATCTCCTCCACACTTCTGCTTACACTGGTCACTTAGCCTAGAGGATTGTGCATGTGTGCTTGCACCTAAACACCTACATGGATTTTTTTTTTTATACCCTCTAAAAAAGCAGGTCAGGAATGAGCATTCACTGGGCATGAAACAACATTAAACTATAAAATGTTCCCTGCCTGCTGCTAGCAAGGATTTCAGGTTTGGGGCACAACCAAGTATCAGGGAGTGCTGTAGATACATTCACCACAGGTATCTGATGTGCTGCTTCCTAGGTGCCCTTTCTTAACAGATACACATCTGGCATCATGTAGTAGGAGACAAAACAAGAAGGGGAGAAGGAGATGCCATGAGGCTGCTGCCCAAGAGCGGGTCCTGCCTGTGGGTCTCTTTAAGCTCAAGGGCTGCACCAGGAGTGCAGTGAAATGCCTCTGCAGCTTCAGGGACTTAGCAGAGCATGGAGCTAGGGAGCTACTGCATCATGGTGAACTCATGGTACATGGGAGACAGGAGCTGGAGGACCGATGACTGAACACCATACTTCAAGCACAACAATTAGCTTGTGCTAAACTTAGGGCTGCACCTTATCCAGCTATAGTCACACCATTGATAATTCAGGGAAATGTATCTTGCTTGAGTTTACAAAGCTGGAATTCAGCCAGTGAAAACAACCAAATGAAAACACCTTTAAACTTTAAGGGGACCGAGAAAACCTCACCTTCATTTATGTCCCATGTGAAGCCTTTCACTTAACCAGTTGCAGAAACATGGCATGTAAGTGAAAGGGTATTGACTTGTTCTTAAGGGAAAAACAATTTGCATAATATAATATTTTTGTGAAGCCTATTTCTGAGTGTGTAACATGATGACGAGTTGATAAAGAGGGAAATGTATGTATTCTTCTTGGAAATGCAGACCTCAGATCCTGTTGATAATAGGTGAAAAACTTGAATTGTATTTATTCATCTAGGGAATATCCTGTCTCTTTAGCATAAAGCCTGTTCTCTTCTGCCTGCATTTGTCCAAATATATCTTGAATTTCCATTCAGCTCTGGCTTGTTGGTTTGGGTTTGTTTTTTTTTCTTTTTAAGTAATTATTTACAAATTAGATTTCTTGAGAGTAAACTATCAGAGGAGACACACTCCCCTCTCTTCAAATATGCAATAGATCTAATTATTTTTCTGTAAAACTACAAACAACCTTCTAAATAATGACAATCATTAGAAAACATTAGGGTCTGTCACTTATAATCTCTGCCAACTGCTGATAACATTTTATTACTGCTTAGAAAGGTTGATTAAAGCTTGTAATAGATTTAGTGAGGGTGAAAGATTAACAAAAAGGTATTTATGATAGAGACACTAAAACATAATATGTTCTCAGTAAACACTTGAGAAAACCCAGCCCTGTGACATTTATAGATGTTGCTCAAGACATCGCTTTTCATCTGCACAGTGAGACCAGTAACAAGTTCCTACATGCTGAGGAAATAAAAAATAAAAAAAACAAAAGAAGAGATAAAAAGGGAGAGGACCACATTACCTTTGTATGTCTCATGTCAGAGCAAGTGAGAAAGCGCTCTCCAAAAATAAGCCAGCTGAAACCTCAGAATAAGTTCCTGGATATGCTATTGTTTGACCATTGGACAATCTCCTTTGAAATTACAGCAATACAAAACTAAAAACCAGGTTGGATCATAAGGTACTCACTAAGGGGCATCTATTTATGCCTGGTCTGGAGGAGGATGTCACTAACATCCTTCAGTCCACCCACTCCACATCTCTGACTGGGGGGACAGACATGCTGTGTGGGGCTCAGTGCTGGCATTTTGTGATGGGCTGGCAAGATGGGCATCAAAGCTTTCCTCCTGCTTAGTTTTCACTGGGAGAAGGCACAGCCAACAATAGACTAGCAACTCTGAAGATCATTTTTCACTCTGGAGCTATTACAAAGGGGAGAGAGAACTGCAAGTGCATGTGGAGGCACCCACATCCCTCAACAGCAGTGAGGTCCATCATCCTCTGGAGATGTCAACCTTGCAGCACAGAGTGACTTCATGATCTACACTGAGCCTAGATGCCTCAGGTCAGAACATGCGTTCCTGTGGCATAGTAGAGCCCCCTCAAACATTTGATTATTTATCCAGACATAGGGACCATTTGCAGGTACAAATTTAACAGACTGCGGGATCATCTGCTTCTCACTTCAGAGCAGCCTCTGCTGAGACCAGTTATGAAAGACCTGGTGAAGCTGAGAAGCAGGTGCCCAAACTCAGCAGTTAAAACTCAAGCCAAGGATGAGAATGCACATGCCATGGCAGGGATCTTCAGCTGTCCTAGTTCAGTCCTGACCTTCAGTATTCTGCTCTGCCTCTCCTCTCCCCTAGTCAAGGAGACAGAGCAGGAGGGTTTGCCTGGCTTCCACAAGCCTGCGGCTTGCCTTAGCAAAATAGACTTGAGGTCTATTCCAACAAACTGTGGTGAGTCAGAGGATGCAGAGCATGCACACTCGGACATTAGGGAGCAGGAAAAATCTCCAGTAGTGAGCTGGAGTAGGCAGTGAGGGGGCTAACTGGTTCAGACTGCCTACCTTAAGCCAACACAGCAGGACTACATGACTTCTCAGGGTCTTTTTCTGACCTAATTCTGTAACACCCCTCATGAATGATCTCTCTGTTTTGGTCTGGGGTTTTTTTTTGATGATGGGCCAATATTTAACAGCACACCTCAACAATGACCCACTGACACCACAGAAATAATTTGTTGAAACAAATGACCAGCAAGATCACAGCCAAAAGTAAACACATTGGAAAATAAAAACAATTTTTGTGCTGTGCATGCCTTGACAAGTCTATACCAGATATATATACGCAGTCTGTAAACACATTAATGCGTGGCTAATCAGAGAGGTCAAACTGTGGTGAAGCAGAATGAGCTTGTGGTTAATCCAAGCAGAGAACCACTGTTTGCAGCCTGTGAAAATGCTTGTAAGTAAAGTACTGCAAAGTGGATGACAGATTACAGAACCCGTGAAAGCAAATCAGCCTGCCCCAAACCGTTCCTCAAATGCACTACGCTGGTGACCCTCACTTCAAGGATGACTCACATCTTTCATGTTGGAAAGTGGAAATATTTTTTTACTGTCAAGTGATGGTCAAAATTAAGATTGTTACTTATTATGGAAGATGTAAACCCCAATCTGTCCCTTGTTTAACCATACTTCACTGTGTCATAGCCAACATATGAGCCCAAATGCATCTCCTGAGATTAAGTTAGACAGTGATGGTTTTTCTCCCTCATTCTTTCATACCTGGAAAATTAGTAAGGCCTTGAAAACAAAATATTTCCAGGCTATATAAGGACACACACAAAACAACAAATGTAAACAAAAATACCATATTTATGTGTTGATGTAGTGAGTCAGAATAAACATGACAGCTTTACCTGAGAAATTAGAGTCTGAAAACAAACCCCGCATGTTTGGCAACAGGCACAGAAGATTTTTGCAAGAAAAAACAAAAATAAGCTTAGCAACATACTTTAGAACTCCCACAGGTAAGCCTTGTTCACCCAGGCAGGCTCACCAAAGTCAAGAAAAACGAAGAATCTTATAATGCTGCATGCTGAGCACCCTTCATGCCCTGTATTCCACATGCTGCCTGTATCCCACATTGCTTCCAGCTGAAAGCTGTTCCTACAGGGCTAACCTGCTCAAACAGCTATATTTCTCATGGAAAAAATAACAAATCGGATGTCCAGCAAAGATTGGCATAGCAAGCTAGAGCCACAGAGCACTAGGACAGACACACTTCTTTATTTCCAGCATTTATTCCTGATCCCTGTGGCATTTGAATACCTTCAGTATGATCCAGAAAGATTATTTTCTACCAGGGCAACAAGGATAACAAGCGGATTGCAAAAGACACTGCTAACACTTGATTGTGATGATGATAAGTCTACACAGTCTGAACCATTTTGGAGTAGACAATGGACAGAGGACTTCCACCTGACTGAACTTCTGGTTTGCTTGTGACAAACTTAGTCATGGAAGATATTGAGGGAAATATTGAAAGCTGAATGGTGTGTCCAATACATTCAATTAAAGGATGGAGAGAAGATCAGAGGAACTATGAAAGCCATGAAAACCTCCATACCGTCAGTGTCTGAACAAAGCCAAATATCCTGAGTGCTGGTTCATTGGCTGTGAAAGCAGAAGATTAGCAGAGAAATCCAGATAGGTTTGACTTAGTAGGATTTTTGCCTCCAGCCTCAGATAGAGGAAGAATTTCAGTTTTTGCCTCTCAATTAGAAGGCGCCATAGCACAAATTCACATTAATAAAAATTGTTATTTTTTCTGTGTCTCGTTGATTCAGTAACACTGTTTTGGTGGGGTTTTTTTTTTTAAGAGGTTAAAACATGATGTTTTATCAAGACTTTTTGTTCTTGAGAACCAAAGCATTCTTTTTTCTTCTAGCTTGGGAAACAGCTGCAGAGGCAAAACTATGGTTTATACTAAATGCTTTTAAAGAAATGGCATCCCTTCTCTTTCTTTTTGCATAGCATAGACATTTTAAGAAAAGATGCTGAATTTCTCAGATTAAACAAATACCTTCTAGCAGCAACAGAATAACAACCTTTCCCAGAACTGTGAACTCCAATTTTTGCCTCTTCTGCTTCTGGTATAGCACCATTTCCCACACCTCAGGAATCACACATTCCATAATAATTTGTCTCAAGCTGGAAAAAAGGTAGGCATAACATGTATGTTATAGCTGGTGTTTTTTATAAGAAAATAAATGAAACTTTCACTCTCCAAATTCCATTGACTAAATGACCAGGTTTTTATTTTATCTTTCCCTGCGCTCAGTTTGCTATCTCTTGAAGTCAGTGAGAATTCTTATTTTTTTCAGGGAATACTGAAATAAATCATAGTGAATCAATAATTATCCACACTTGCTTGATAGTTGGGACTTCTGTTATATTCCACAGATATCAGGAAAGTTTTCTGTTATGTTGCTCAGTTTCATTTTTTTCCTGCTGCCCCCTGTTCACTCTATGCTTGAAGCCAAATTTCCAGCATAACTTTCCCTGTTAAAGGCAAGAGATTATTCTTCTAGAGAGGTTTTCTTTCTGTTGGTGGCATTTTAGCTACTGACAAAGTCAATGTTCTTTGAGAATTTTGGGCTCCACTCCTACTACCCTTAGGGCAGGAATAAACTTCCTATAAGAAATCATTCCTGGGGGTGATTGAACAGGCCTTGGATGGGCTGGAAGCTCCTTAGTTCCCAGCTCAGAGTGCCTGCTGCTCCTGACACTCAGGCGCTATGGTGCCCTGGCAGCATCTTCTCTCAAAATCACTCACCATTAATCTCCTTCTACTTCTCCTTGAAATTATGTTCATGTTATCTTTCTTGAGGAAAAATCATTTAACTTGAAATATGTCCTCATGATTACTTGCTTTCTCCAAGTTACTCCAATTTCATCATCTAACAGTAGGTAAAACTTCAGTTCCTGACCTTGAAGTAAATCTGATTCAGCAGCAGCAATCTTCTCTATCTCCCTCCTGCACAGAGTCCAAAAGCGAATTGGTCAGAAAAGAAGAATTCATATGCATATCAAATATGCTCAGTCCTGCACAAATTACCAAATAGCATTCAATATACAAGATGCAGAGCTCTCAAACAATAGCTAAAGCATGTTCCCTGCTTTTTATGTGTTCCCCAAGAGCCCTGGGGAGGAACCCAAACCTGGAGGATCAGTATGGTTTTTGACACTCTGTGTTTGCATAAAACTGCCTGGCTTGTGCTGGTAAAGTTAAAATTCTACATTAGTATAGTCTCCCTACTTTACCAGCCCCTATACTGTCCCATGCACAGGTAGCAATTTGTGTTGATCATGGGTTATTGTGGAGCAATGTATTAGAGACTCAGATGTTACTAGACTGTGCCTATATACCAGCTTCCAGAGTAGGTTTTTTATGCTAGCCATCATTAGAAATCATCCTCGGCACAAACCAAGTCAAGCCAAAAGCAAGGAAAAATACTTATTTATCCAATCCAAAATAAGCAACACAGTTGCAGAAATTTATAACATATGGCTGAAAAGAAGGAAAGAAAAGTCTGGCTTTCTTGCTCTAAAATCAAGTCCAAAAGGCCCATCATTCTCTCTGTCTTGCTTGGTATCTTGCTGCCAAATAAGATCGAAGCCACATCTGATTCACGTGGACAAGGTCTCAGAGCTGGTGTATGCACTCCATTTCAAATACATATTCCCAGGAGAGAACCTGCAGCCGGGGAAGGCAGCTAACTTACAACCCTGTACTCCTTGGTGGAGTTCTGCGAAGGTTCAAATCCATCTCCCCTCCCACATTCAGGGGTTGGCTTCACTGTCCTCTCCCTGGACTATTCAGTGGCCTACCTTCTTCAAATGCAAATATCCCTTCAACAGGCCAGGTGCAGACATCCCTTATCCTTCACTGAACTATTGGTAAATCATTAATCCAGAGAGGAGCAAAACGCTCCCACTTACCAGGACAAATCTCAGTGTGAAGCTTTTCCAGGCTCCAAATTTCCTATTTCAAATCAATGTATACATTGACCACCACAGCTGATGCAAACTTGTCAGCTTAATACATGCCTTTGGGGTAGAGACCCATGGAGTGATTGATGGACCCCATCTTCTCCCAGAGGGTTAGCATAAGCCTGATGTGATGTAGTCACCAGGACTGGAGCAAGAGCAGAAAGAGTCCCTGTTGTCAAGTGTGAGAGGGACAATCACTCCTCAGAATTTTAGGCCACTGGAATCTGTGGCATCTGTGACAAAGAGTCTGAATACATATATTCTTTCACCAGATTTTGCTATGTATTTATTAATAAAACATGACAAAAGAAGTAAAAGCTACAACAGAATCTTAAGAAAATCATAAACCTCAGCGCCTCTAAGTCACCTTATAAAAAGTGCCAGGGACAGCCAGACAGGCTGCTGATTTGCAGGCAGCATCTCAGACAGCCTGAGAACACAGCTCCTGTGTGCAGCTGAATGAGGGGCAGGTGTGCAAGTATCAAAAAGAAACTTCTGCTCTGCTGTGCCCGCAAGCAGTGCCTCAGCCTCCACACATCACCCGGCCCCAGTCCCGCAATCAGTCATCGGAAACCAGATCCAGCACAGAAATGTGCTGAATGCGGAACTGCCGGTGCTGAGTCAGTCTGTTTGGGGCTGCCCCCACATATAAAAACATTTTGGTTATTGATCTAAAGATTCATGACTCACAAGCTCAATATAGCACTGGGATTAAAAGACTGCTTTGTTCTTGGAAGTGACACATACAGTCTCCTCAGGGCACCAGCCCTCCTCTGTGACACCTGCTCCCTCAGAAGAAAATCCACAAGGACTTGAAGAGTTGCCTAAAAAACAAGTAAGAGGGCAAGTGGGATGTGCAGCTCTCACTCCATCCGTTCATCTGTCCTTCTATCCATCCTTCTATCCATCCATACATACATACATGCATATATACATCTATCCGTACATACATACATCCACCCACCCTTTTCCAGCTCTCAAGGTTTGGATGAGGAAACCTCATCCATTCTGCGGTGTGTCACACACAATTTTCATAATGTATCTTCTCACTTCCTAGCAGATGAATCTGAAATTACCCTCACCATAAGGGATAATTCACTATGTGAAACTCTGCCTAATAAACAGCTGTAGATCAAAAGATCTCAAGCCAGACTCTTTACATGTAAAAATGTGTTCGTGACCTAAAGAAGTACTTTCTAAAGCCACAGAAGTATTTAGGGGCCAAACTTCAAGGATCTCATTCAATTTATACATGGAAGCTGTACAAGCTGCAAGTGACCTTTTATGGTGCTCAGTCATTTACATAAAACACAAGAGCATTCCCTCCCAGTGTACTCTAGCATACTTTCCTTGCCTGGGGAAATTCATTTTGGATGTGTGATGTCTCTTTGAATTAACTGGCACCAGTTTTGTAATCAAGCACTGTTGAGCCAACAGAAAGACAAGGACTTACAGCATTTTCGTGTGGAATAGACACACACACACACACAAAAAAAAAAAAAAAAAAAAAAACAAACCAAAACCAAAAAAACAACAACAAAAAAACCCTAAGAATTGGCCCAATATGCTATAAAAGACCACAATACATGCATTCATTCATGCAAAAATTAAGTATATAATCACATGATGAGCAAAAGACTTCATACGATGGTATACATGTTTAAAACACATACAACCCTATTTAAATAAACTGCACACTGTGCTAGATTCCAAAAAAAGATGAAGTTACAATAATTGTCACTTTCAGTTTTATATAATTTTCCAAATAAAAATGTGAGAGTTGCCATTAACTAGTACTGACAATGCACATACAGTACACACATTTGTCAATTTCATTAACCTTCCAAATTAGGTATTCAGAGGGAGCTAATGGCAGCATAACACATCATTACAATATTCAATGCAATTTCATGGATATTATGTATAGGGAGAAATTTTAGGCTCTCTTGTCCTTACAGCTGTTAGAAAATATTATACTTTGCAAATATCCCATTAGGGATCGGGAAATGCTAAATAGCAGAATCTGAATAGTATGAATTATGTCCCCCTTTCCCGCCTCTCCTTGTCAGGAACAGGGTGCCTCTATTTGTGTCATATTTGGCCGTAAGTAAGGAATACAAATCATTTGCCTGGACTTTGCACCCTCCTCACAGCCTCAACAGCTAGGATCAGGATCAACGAGGTTTGAGCTTAATTTACCCATTAACTTTCTTTATGACCTTGGGCAAATCACTTAATTTCTTGCAACTACAATTCCTTGCTTCACAGGCACAGGGTAGATAAAATCTGTTATGGATCATGAGCAACTGACATACCAATAGAAAGGTTACCATCCCTCTCGTAACAGAAAACAGGTGTGGGAACGGGGAAAAAAAAACGAGATACTTTGAATTATCTAAAGTAAGACATTCAGAAGAGAAGCAAAATGAAAGAATCTTAAATAAAAGGAAGATTCTTACAAAGTCAGAATGTGGGAGAAAGTAATTTTGTGGAACACAAAACAGAGAGATGTGTCATAGCACTGTTAACCTCAGAGAACTGGATGTTTGTATTAGCAGCAAAAGAATATGAAAGGAATATGAAAGTCCTGCAAGACGATGATGTGAATTACAGAAATCACATTTTTCAGCTTTGATGTACTTTCAGGGGTCTCTTTTCTGGACCACTTTGGATTCCTCAAACCAGTCATCTGTGAGTCAATGGGTTTCATGGAGATTGTTCTAGTATCATCAAAGAATCCTTAATTCTAAGGTTACAAAGATGTCTGCCTCTCTCTTGAAAGACTTTAGAAAACTAATAAGGTATAATAAGTTTTCAATGTTTTCCCTTCTGATCACCAATAAAGTGTTTAGAAAATAAAAGCCATTAGCAGTCACATTACAGGAAAGTAAACATACACGTATGTGTGATGAAGAGCAACAAATTCCCATGCAAGCCATCCCCTACAGAAATGGTCAAGGTTGTCTAATGCAGTTTTAATTGAGCTTTGCCTTTCTGCTTGATGCTGTTTTCCCTGCAGGTCCTTAATAGAGCTCAGTAAGGATCTGTTCACCTTGTCAAACAGGACTAGAGCAAAATGCCCCTGTAGCTTACCAAAGAAAAACAATGTTTTCTGTACGTGGTGGCATGGTGAGCAGTGTCAGCAGCAGCCCTTCCACATTGTTTCTAACCCAGTTGGCTATATTGCATCTTACAATATCTGAGGTTCTCTATTCATGGGAAATGCTTTGGATGGTCCAGCTTCACAACAGCCAGCTCGTGTTAATTTGAATCACTTTGGTTTGCTTTTCTCACTGTTGCTCTCACTGCCAAGGGCTGTCAAAACACATTGTCCTGCTTTCAGAAAAGAGCCACATACTGTGTCATGGAGAGATACAAAACACAGCTGATAAAACTACACAGAAGAGTTCAGCTGTCTTCCTAGTCTATGAATTTAAATAGCATTCTCCTATAGAAATGAAGCAGTTTTTACATTAAGTTAATTTGTCTTTTGGGTGTTGTTTTTTTTTTTTTCCTCCGTATGGAGCACCTGCTTTACTTGGCCACCTCATTTTCTATTTAGTTTTCTCTTTTAGCTCAGTTTTCTATTTTGGAGATTTGACATCATCTATGCTACCAGAAAGGTGAGCTTTTAGCCATCTTTTTTTCAGGAGAGTCCATTCAATCAGTTCTGGTGGTTTAAAAAGTTAGCTGTAGGGGCAGCATTCTATTGCTCCGTGTCTTAATTTCCCATTATAACACACAGATAAAATGTAGAACAAATGGGTGACTCTACATCTCAACAAAGTAATGTTCCAGCCTGTTTAAATTCCAGCCAGCACAAAGCTGTCTGATAAGTAAGGGGGAGGGGAAAGTGAGGGGGGAAGTAAAATAAATAGAAAACTGTATTCTTACAGTGTCAGATTTACCACAGACAGAAAAGAGTAAACTTTGACACAGGAGAGAGGGAATATTTTTAATAAGGTGCCGTGCCAATTTGGCTTGTTATTCTGATACATAAAGTATCCTGGTGTCCTTTAAATTAAAAAAAAAAAAAAGTCCAAGCTGGACAGAAGTGCCAGCAAATGTTATAAACCAGTGGATGGT